ACTTACAGTTGCTCATATTGAACCTCTTCAATATATCTTGAGCATACTTCGTTTGATGCAAGAAAAATCCTCCTTCGATGTCTTTGAATTCCATTCCCAGGAAGTAGGAAAGATTCTCTAAATCAGACATTTCGAATTCCTGCATTAACTTTGACTTTACCTTCATTATCTCAGCTTCATTTGCTCTTGTAATGAGTAAGTCATCAATGTAGAGGCATAAAATGATTCAATTGGCACTTTCGACATCATTTACATACACTCCATATTCAGAGACACACTTTGTGAACCCTGCTTCGATTAGGAAGCTATCTATCCTTTTATTGCAAGCTCTAGGAGCTTGCTTCAAGCCATAGAGAGCCTTCCTCAATCTATAAACCATCGACTCCTGCCCTTTGACGTCGAAGCCTAGTGATTGAGTGACATAAACTTCTTCTTTCAGAGGCCCATTCAAAAATGCTGACTTCACATCAAGTTGGTACATTTTCCATCATCTATATGCAGCTATCGAAACAACAATCCTGATTTTTTCGATCCTAGCAACAGGCGTATACACTTCATCAAAGTCAATACTTGGTTGTTGTAGAAAACCTCTGGCCATCAGTCTTGCCTTGTACTTTGCAATCTCACCATCTGGCCTTTCTTTCACCTTGTAGACCCGTTTCACAGTTTCTTGTTGGTTCTTTCGACAAGTTCTCAAGTGTTGTTCTTCTCAATGGCTCTAAGTTCTTCTTTCATGGCCTCACACCAATTCTAATTGCTCAAGGCTTCATCCAAGTTAATTGGTTCTGCTTCAGCCATCATCTTGGCTTCTTCGATTAAGTCACCATCATCATATATTGCTTGATCTGGAAACCTCTCATATCCAGTCAGCCTAGTTGACTCAGTTCTCGTTCTTGTGGATCTTCTTTCGTTATGCACAGGTGGTTCTTCATTTTGACTAGTCAAAGTATCACCTTGTTTATTTTGACTTGTCGAAGCTTCATCTTCTTCGAACACAGTTATGACTGTATCTTATTCTTGTCGAACTGCACTTCGACTCTAATCCCATCGTTTGCTTTCGTCTACAAGAACATCTCTACTGATCACTAGTTTATCTTCTATTGGTGAATACAACTTGTATGCACCATTCAAATGATAACCTATGAGCACCATGAATTCACTTCGATCATCCAGCTTCTTTCTCAATTGTTCAGGTACATGCCTGAAACACATTGATCCAAAAATTCTAAGATGACTTACATTTGGCTTCGACCCTGTCCAAGCCTCATGTGGTGTCTTTTCGACCATCTTCTTCGTTGGGCATCTGTTTAGAATGTATATTGCTGTCGAAGTTGCTTCAGCCCAAAATCTCTTAGGCATATTCTTAGCTTTCAACATACATCTGGTCATGTTCAATACACTTCTATTCTTTCTCTCAGTGATGTCATTATGCTGAGGCGTATAGAGTGCAACAACTTCATGTTCTATACCTTCCTTATTGCAAAATCTAGAAAATTCTGCTGAAGTATATTCACCACCACCATCAGTTCTTAACTTGTTTAATTTACAACCACTTTATTTCTTAGCATGCAACTTGAATTTCTTGAACTGTGTGAATACCTCACTCTTCCTTTCAATGAGGTAAATCCACATATGTCTGGTGAATTCATCAATGAAAGTAAGGAAATATTTGTTACCACCATTGGACTTTACCTCGAAAGGTCCACACACATCTTAATGAACCAACTCCAGTTTTTACCTTGACCTTATAGGAAAATCACGTTTGAATACCTTCCTTGCCTGCTTAGCTTTGAAGCATTCTTCACATATCTGTTTTGGTTCCTTCACATACGGCAGCCCAAGCACCATTTTCTTTTGATTGAGCATACATAAACTTTTGAAGTTTAGATGTCCATACCTGTGATGCCATAGCCAATTCTTGTCTTCTTCTGCAGTTGAAGCAAGACATTTGTCATCTGATGTATTGAGTTCGACTTTGAAGGTTTTGTTCTCCGCCAATGATGATTTCATGATTAGCCTCCCATCATCCCTATATACCTTCATCTGATTATTCTCCAACTTCATATTGAAGCCTTTTGCAAGTAATTGACCTACACTTATCAAGTTACTTGTCATCGAAGGTACATACAGAACTTCAGTGATAGTAGCCTTTCGACCATCCTTCCTGATAATCGAAATGTCTCCTTTACCACCTGATTTAATATGCCTGCCATCTGCAAACTTTATCACCTTTTCGACTAACTCATCTAACTTGGTAAACCAGATTTTATTTCCAGTCATGTGGTTGCCACATCCTAAATCCAGATACCACATGTTGTTTTTCTCAGTGTTCGATTGAGTGTTCACCAACAACAACACATCATCAGAATCACTACTTCCAGCTCGTGCATATTGAGCTTCATCACTATCTTTAGACCTTGCAGCTTTCTTGCTTCGACAATCTCTAGCATAGTGGCCAAAACCTTGACAATTGTAACATTGTACCCTTTTTGTGTCAACTTTCTTTCCCAGAATATTTGTTGCCCACTCCTTTCAAATCACTATTCTTGCTTGACTTCTCATCACCAACAAGATTCTTACGCTGTTTCGATTTCTCTTTTCCAGCTTTCTTACTGAATCTTGATTGTAATGCTTGTTCAGCTGTCTTCTCCCTTTCTGAGTTTCTTTGCTGCAGCCTCATTTCATGAGCCTCCAAAGAAGCTTGAAGTTCTTCCAACTTCATCTCAGATAGATTCTTGGCCTCTTCGATTTTTACAACAAAGTAACCAAAATTTGCAATTAGAGATCTTAATACATTTTCTATCTTCTGCAGATCCGTTAGTGCTTCACCATACGCCTTCATCTGGTTTGTTAGCATTACCACTCTTGAGAAATATACTGAGACAAATTCATTCTCTTTCATCTGCAGTATCTCATACTACTTTCTCAGAGTCTGCAACTTCACCTTCTTCAGTTTCTCATCTCCACCATACAACGACTTCAGCTTTTCCCAAGCTCCTTTTGCTGTTTCTTCTTCGATTATCTTCTCAAACACATCACAATCCACACACTGGTGAATCAAGAACAACGTCTTTCCATCTTTCTTCCTCTAATCTTTGTGCGCAGCTTTCTGGGCTTCTGTAGCATCTTCCTCCAGCTGTGATATTCCATCATTCACGATTTCTACAACATCTTGAAATCTGAAAATAAACTTCATTTGTGCCACCCATCTTTGATGGTTTTCACCTTTGAAAATCGGAAAATTTGTTGGAAATTGTGTTGAGGTTGTTGATCCGGTTTCCATTAGATTCTCTCTGAATCGCAAACAAGTTCTTTATACCAATTTGTTAGAACAAAGGATTCAAGAAAGATGAATATTATGAAAAACAACAAGAAGAAGAGAGAAGAAGAGAGAGAGAGAGAGAGAGAGAGAGAGAGAGAGAGAGAGAGAGAGAGAGAGAGAGAGAGAGAGAGAGAGAGAGAGAGAGAGATTACTGAGTTAGTTAGTGTAACTAACTCTTAAAACTGAAACTGTTATTATTGTTACTGCAGTATTTATTACAAAGTAATGGCCCTTTATATAGGCAACACGCCCAAACCCAAATACAAGCTAAAGCCCAAATTATAACTAACAAGAATTAACCAACTAACAATATGCTCTCAAAATATGTTTATAAGTGATCACAATCTTCACCTTAAAAATCAGATTAAGTATACTCAATTCAAAATTTGGTATCAATGTATTGATTCACTTAGTTACTTGTTATCAGATTTTCGTTATTGATTCATTTGGTTATTTGTTATCAGGTATTCGCTATCAGACCACTATCATTTGTATCCCATAAAAAAAAACTCCAATTGTGTTGGTATAATGGAGTGTATTAAAGAGTCTAATATCTGATAAGATATGACATAAAAATATGTTTATAAGTGAGTGCAATCATCGTCCTACAATTTCATTTTATAAGTTTGAGTTAGGCGCAATCTAAGCATAACATTCATGCACAATGTGCATCGACTACTTGTATGATATGATTTTTTTTTCCAGATTAGAAATAGAATTATGCTTGGATTATAGTGTTGGATTTGTGATGTGGTGTTACAAGTCTCTGATGGGGTGGATCACATAGGGGAGATCTGCAAGATTATCTCTTCAACATCCAAATCAATTAATGAATCTAAAAAGGAAAGAATGAAGTATGGAAAGCATGAATATACTTTATACTTTACATGCGTAGAAGTATTTATTCTTGGATCAATCCGGTTGTTTGGCCTTCTTTGAAATACTAATTGGGCCTCTTCTTATTAGATTTTTGGCCAACCCAAATTAATTTTGATAGCCATGATTAATTTCGAAGATTTCTTTTTCTACTCTATAGTTTTCTAGCGCACCACGCGAAGTTACAAAAATGTCTCTGAAAATCAAAAATATATTTCTTGGATGCACCAAGATTTGATAAAATGTAAGTTGAAACTGAAATTTAATTTTCTGTTTGTATCCGAACTTATATTTTCGATTATGTTTTTACCTTTTGAATAAGCCGGAACCATATGTCTATTTGCGTGTAGTACATGGTACGGACCAAAAATATATTTTCATTTTCTAAGAGAAATTTTAAGATTGGGTAAAAATTTTCTTTTCACATCAAAGATTCATCACACGTTGAGAGTGCATAATAGTAAGCATATGCATACACATGTATTTTAGAGTCTAAACTTTCTTGAAATGAAAATGGCTAATGAAAAACTCTTGTCTTTTACTTCCCAAGGCATCCATGTGCTGTCCCTATATTCTAAACAGAACCATAAGTCACCTGTTTCAAATTAACCAGACCATTTCATTTTTATAATCACACACTTCTTAAAGTTAAAAAAAGAAAGTAACAAAACAATAATTAAATATACCATTTAAAAAAAAAAAACTCTTTTCTCCTTTTATAAATCATCACAAATTCTCATGCATATAATAGAACCTCTCAATATCCTCTCATCTCATCTCTCAGTACTCTCAAAACATTAACATGGTCTCTCTTGAACCTGAGCCTGTTCATGTTAACCTCAGATCTAGTGATGCACCTTCAAGTCCGAGAATATCTTTCTCAGCAGAGTTTCTAGATGAAAACAACTTCATCACTATAAGTCCAAATCCTCTTTACATAGAAAAAGACCAAGAACATGAAAAAACGAAGAACACAGATCAGTTTGAGTTTCTGTCAAACAACAACATGTCCAACAACAACACAGTTTTATCAGCTGATGAACTTTTCTTTGAAGGCAAAATCCTTCCCTTTTGGCAGATGCAACATCTAGAGAAGCTCAACAAGATCAACCTGAAAGCAAAAGACGTAGAAGTAGAAATAGAAGGAGTAGAAGAAGAAGAAGAAGAAGAAGAAGAAGGAGAACATGAAGAGGAAGTCATTGAAGTTGTAGTGAACAACAACAAAGAAGATAATAGTAGAGTAAATTGGTTTGTTGATGATGATCCATCACCAAGGCCACCAAAATGCACTGTCCTATGGAAAGAGTTATTAAGGTTGAAGAAACAAAGAGCTTCTTCTTTGTCGCCTTCTTCGTCTTCATCGTCTTCTTCTTCAAACGCTAGCTCGCTCGGCGATGCAGCTGCTAAAGAAGGTTCGAGAAACAAAGAGAATCAACATGTGAAGAGGATAAAGAAAGGGTTGGAGAGAACAAGATCAGCTACTATTAGAATTAGACCAATGGTTAATGTTCCAATTTGTACACAAATGAAGAACAGTGCTTTGCCTCCACTATTTCCACTTAAGAAGGGCAAATTAGAGAGGTAATAAACTTCAAAGTTCAATGATTATGCAGTTCAAGTTTGATCCTCAGGGTTTTGAAATAAGTTTGTTAATTTTTGCTTATTTGTTTTATTACTTTATTTCAACAAACTATGTTAATGTTGGCTTGGTGTAGAATAGGTGTTAATTTTGTAACAAAAAAGAAAAGAAAAGAGAATAGGTGTTAATTTGAATGGATCTGAGAAATTATTAGGATGTAAATTTTCTGACTTGTATAATCATTGGATTATGCATGCATTGCATTGGTTTTGGCATCACTAGATTCCAATAAACATGATGAAGAAATTTCACATGATGAATGCAGAGTTTCTTAGCATGTGAGTCCCACATGATGATGAGTATCTATCAGCCACAAACATTTCATCACAGAATGCTAAATCAATTATCAACAAGTGGTAAGATCTTTTTCGAATAACTGATATTTTAAAGCCGAACCAAACGGTTCGTAAATATTGTTTACACTTCGGTTATTTGAATGGTCATAGCACGATTTTGTCGTGAGCTGTGATCTGGAGATTTCGTTGGTTCGATTTTTAAAACACTGATGATACAATTTCGGCGCACGCCTAGGCCCGACTAAAATTAGAACCTACCTTTATATGGCACAAAGGGTTAGTTTTAGGGATGGGTCAGGATATAATCTAGGTGTGTTCAGATGCATGGCCTTAAGGTTAAATTCTAATCATTGAGATGTGACTTGCAAGGAATATTTTTGTCTATCACTTTAAATGACTTATCTTTAATCACAATAGGAAAAGTGATAATCTATAAGGACATGTTTATGTTTGTAAAACAGCATAGATTTTTCCAATAAAACAATAAATAATGACTATACAATGATATGTAAAGATACAAATTCGAAGAACATTACAATTTTCAAGGAACCGAGAACCAAAGTGGAACAAATTTGTTCCGCCAATATGGAAAGTATACTCCAAGCCAACACAATAAATCTGTATGCTCTTCAACAAGTGAAGGTTGAATTTGAACTTCGATCTTCGGTTTAGAGTTGGAAATTAATAATTTTTACCAAATTCAGAATAATCTAAGCGCAAAAGAATCTTGACAAAAGAAAAGTCTTTATCTCAAGGTGCTGGAGGTGACAAGAAATTATTTCCAGAAGTTCTGCCGATAAATATATGCAGATATCAGAAAAGTAACAATTGTAGAACTCGCGATGGCAACATTTAAAAAGGTTTGCTCGTTTACCTGACGATCAATCCAGGTTTTCCAATGAGGTTTGCTGGAACTTGACCGGTTAAATTGTTGTTTTGTAAAAATCTGCTTACAGCAAATTACAGCGAATCAATTACTATGAAACAAGTTGGTTGTAATATCGGGTAGAAGTAAACTTACACTTCTTTTAAGCTTCCGATGTTCCCTAGGGACGAGGGAATCTCTCCATTAAATTGATTGTCTTCCAAGCGCCTTAAAACATAGTAACAATATTCAAATACCGAACTCTATGAATATATTGAAATTATCTCCAATTTCAGACACTTGAAGTTATGCTAAGATAAACTTACAGTGTCTCCAACTTCGTTAGCGAACGGAGGTTAGGAATCTGTCCCGATAAACTGTTATTTCCAAGCCAGCTGCAACACGAGAATGGTTTCCGGATCAAAATAAATACTAAAATATTACATACATTTAAACTCGAGAACCTACATATTGGTCAAAGCTGTCATATTGGCAACAAAAGGCGATAAAGATCCTGAAAGATCCATGCTTGTCAAATTTCTGAAAATAACAAGAAACCATGAGCAGGCCATTCATTTACACAGCATATAATACTAATAACTACAAAAATCGGAGCTTACAAAGTCACTACGCGGATATTGGATCCTTCCGAGCATGTGATACCAGTCCAGGAATATTGTCGAGGCATACAAGGATCACCACTCCAATCAAGTGGAGGATTTCGAAGACTCTTTTTAACCCTTTCCAGAGCAATAACTGTGGATAGAAAGTATACATTATCAAAACTTTTATGTTCGCGATTAACAATACAGGCGCGCTAAAATTAAGCGAAGAAAAATGAAATCAAAAGCTAGACCATCGCGAGTAGAAGTCCTTCCTCCAAGAGACAAGACATTAAAAATTTCGCCAGCATTAATTAGGGGCCCGAAAGATGAACTAGCTGAAGGAGTTAAAGTTATTGTTGTAGGACCAGAAAGAGGCCATTGGTTGGCAAAGACAACAACACCGGATGGGATCGCATTCAAATCACGGTAATAATGCACACCATTTACACTTATGTTAAAAATTCTTGTTCCAGCAGTGTTGTCAGCAAAGTATAGAGCAATATAGTATTTCAAGCCTGGAAGTGACACTGTAGGCCATCTCAATTCCAAGGATTCTAATTGATCAGATCCTAGATGTGTTTCGAATACCTTTGAAGGTGGAAGATTCCAAAAGCCAGAAACAGAAACATTGTCAGTGTTTGCTTTGGTTGAATTACTCTGCCCAAATGGCTCCCAAATTCGGTCGAATTGATCATCAGGATATCTAATAACAAAACCGAAATTAGAGATGACTAAAAACTTTGAACAAGAATGAAATGAATTTGTCAAAAAGGAAAATAAATCTATGTAAATCCAATACAACTTCAACATTTAACAATCTAAGCTTATAAAAATAAGCTGAAAACAGCTTAGAAAAAGTCATAAGCTATTCCAAACAGTCCACCTGTACCAAACCATATTAAGAAAGTCTTTACGCGACCGCCATCTTGAACATAGGTTACCAAAAACTTGAGAGAAAAGTTAGCAGACAAATACAACTATAACCAAATGATAATGATCTCACCAACCTAATAGGTACACCGGAGTAACCAAAGCTGTGTCTACCAATCAAACCAATAGCAAAGTTCTTGAAATCAGTAGTATTATAAAGTGATTCTCCAAGAATCAAAAACTCCAAAGCAGATACAAAAGGATCGGAATCCGTATAACTATTTGATCCAATACAAAAACTCAAAAACTTTCCCTTAGCTAAGAAAACCGCTTCATAAAAAGTTGAATTTCCATTAACATAATCATGTGTAGTATTAACGATGCTCCATAGAGTCCCGTCAACGATCTGATCAAACACCGGCGGCGAAGGGTGGTCAGGACCGTTGACTCCTCCGTAGAAAAAAGTACTCCGCACCAGATACTTTGCGCCGCGGTACACCGGAATATTGTAGCAGTGCTTTTTCACGTGGAGAGGGAAAGAACGAAGCGTTTTGAGAGATGGGATTAGAACTGAGGAGGTTGAGGTTATGTTTCTCGGTGTGCCGGATGAGATGAAGGTTGAATCGGGAAGCCATGAATGGTTGTTGATGATGGTTTTTGATGAAGAACCGCAGTTGATGAGGAAGCCTTTGAGGGGAGGTGGTTGAGAAAGAGAGGGGGTGAGAAAAGGGGAGAGGAGAAGGAGGAAGAAGAAGAAGAAGGACATGGTTGGGAATATTGAATTTGAGGAGATTGAGGTTGTTGTGAAAATGTTTGAAGGTTGTTGTTGTGAGAAGGAGTGGGAGGGAAGAAAAGAAAAGAATAAGGGTGACGCGGGAAACTGTGTTGACAGGACAGAACAAACAACGTAGGACTGGTTTTTGGTTATTGGTTGTTTGATTCTTTCTATGTTTTGTTGGTTTGGTTTTGTGACCGTTGGGTTGGGTTGAAGGGTGATGAACGGACGGCAGTTTATTTTAGTGGGACGGGCGAAGACTCATTCACTTTGACTTTGTTCATTTGATTTGGTTGGCAGCAACTATGTCTACTCTTTTTCTATTTTTTATTCTCATAGTTTTGTATTTATTTTTTAGAGGTTGTTTTTTACTATTTTTTACAATAGTCATAGTGACATGAGATATGTGTATAAAATTTTAGTTAGAATTGGAATTTAGCTTTGTATATTCACACGCAAAAAACTTGCTTGGTAGCTAGAGGTAGGGGGGCGAGCTAGTATATTAAACGATGAGGCTTAAAATTGATGACAAAGAGATGTTTTTATAAGTTTATGATATACTATTAATGTATTTTTGATATTTGTGTAAAATGTAAAATTAAAATGTAAGAGAAAGATAAAGACATTAGTATATGATTAGTATATGGTGTCAAATATAGTATCTACTTTTTAGTGTTCAAATAACACTACTAGTGATGAGAAATGATATTCATAGTTTTGTTGTTACTTTTGGTTGTTTTGCTAAGTTTTTAGGTGTCATTTGAGTTTTTTATGTAAAAAATTTAGATGTGGTGATGGTTATTGAAATTGTTTATTCTAGAGGTTGGTATTTATTGTAGTTAGAGATGGATTCTCTAATAATTTATTTTGCTTTCAAATATTCTTCCATGAATATGTAATACCTAAGAATTAGATGGCTAAATTGTTTAAACTTCTTAAAAAGGAAAAAACTAACATGTGCTCCAAAGGCATAAGTTAACTTTCATTATCTCTCTCATTTATCGTGAAAGAAATAAGTGCGTTGATGGAATTTTTAATATTGGTTTTACATATTCTGGACACCCAATAGTGAGATATTATCCCTATTAGTATTTATCATGTTTTTTCTAGAAATAGATATGGTTTTTCCGAGTTAGATATTATATTAAATTTGTTTTAGAAGTATTGTGTTTTTTTCTGTTCAACTAATTTGTCATAATGATTTACAGGTTAAGATTTTTACTAAGACAGTTGATTTATTTTGTATCAGCTCTAGCCCATCCCAAGGGCAAAGTAAGCAAGATCATCACTTTAGGCCTCATTTTTTTAAGGCAAAAAGCCAAGCCTCCAAATAAGGCAATTTCTCTTTACACCCTTACTACTTCTCTCAGGCCCTTTGCAAATTTCCCAAAATGCTTCATGTTTTCGGAGATGCATCTTCAGACGCACTAAAAATCATTTTTATTACAAAAAAGTTCAGAAAGGAATCTCCGAATTCTTAAGAGGGTACGTTCGAAAATGCATTTTCGAACTATACATGCTTCCAGAACCATACA